GAAAAATCCGTTCTTATCGAACCTCTACACCCTAAAGTCAATCTGTTTTCCAAAAATCAGCTTTTTACGTCAAGCGCTTTAAGCAGGATCGTGATTAATCAATGACCAGATTTTTCGAAAGACCCTGTATACATTTTTAAAAAATCTTAAAATATGTAAAAAAAACAAAATAAAATGTGATAAGTGTGTAAGCGTTTTTCGGAAATTTGACCGTTTTTTAAATAAAAAATATTGTAATATTTGAGGGGTGGTTTCACCCTCTTGGAACTGGAATTTCGAAAAATCTCCTCTACACCCTAGAATCAACATATATGCCAAAATTGAGCTTCTTACGTTGAGTGGTTTGAGCAGGATCGTGATTAATCAGTATGTCATTAGTATAGATTTTGGTAGATAGTGATATTTCTTTAAATCTACACTGAAAAAAAAGATGTAGACGTTAACTCAACTTCTGATTGTTGGCAAAGGCTTCTAGGCGATTAGTGACATCATGGAATCTGCTCTGAAGAAGCTAACGGAATGGGCAAAAAGGGATGGTTTGGGCATCAACCCATACAAAACCGAACTCATTCTGTTTATGAAAAAATACAAGATACCCAAGTTCACGCTACCAAAGCTGGAAGGGAAGACACTTGTACAGGGTGTTAACGATAGAGTAAAATTCTCACTGTACTCAGTTCTCCTGAGTACAGTGATATGCCACACTCAATATTTTTTACAATGACGTGTGCTAAAACATTGAATACGGAAAATCAAATGCAATAAAAAAATTAAAAGTAATATAAAATAAATAATATAAATATAATATAAACAATCAAATAATTTCCCCGAAAGTTGGACTGGAAATGGTAGAGTAGTATAATTACCAGCGAGGTCCCTGAACCTGTCGTCAAGAGGGGGGGGGGAGGGCATTGCTTAACGTCATTTGTAAAAGAGAAATCAATATTTTTCAACATTTACTATAAATAATTTACTATTTATTAATAAAGAGTAAAAAATACATTCGGAAGTATAAGAAGATATGTTCAAAAAGCTATAAATAAAATTGAACGAATAATACATTTATGCAATAGGGAGAGTGGTAACCCTTTCGAACATGTAGAGCATTAGAAACTAGTTTGTAGAAGTTGATTTATTTATAATAACTACGATTAATATTATGCTCATATTTCAAATTCCACATTAAAAAATTAAAAATAATATATTTAAATTGCTGACCTGGGATATTATTTATTTCAATCTTTCAATTGGCTCGATTTTTCTTATTCAAAGTTAATTAACGCTGATCAATATTGTTGCGATGAATATAATCAGATTAAATAATTTAAAAAAACAGAGTCCGACTTCAAATGATTTCAAATAAAATAATTAAATAGTTTTGTTGTTGTTATAATTACCAAAATAAAAAAAAGTATAAAGTGTGGCATATTGTTGTACTTAGGAGACCGAGTTCTTTCAAAACCTGAAATAAAAAATGCAGGGCCGTATTTAAGAAAAATTAAGTTGGCCTCTGTATCTCACAAATTGTCAGCTAATTTAAAAATCTAAAAATACTGTTAGATAGCCCTAATAAAGTGGCTACGAGAATGAGCAATTAGTTTTTTGATTTTTTAAAAACTAACGGCAGGAAAAAATAAAATTGATTTTTAAAAAATCCGTTTTTTTCCAAAAAACTCAGCAATCCAGAAACTCCAAATAGCTTTTCCAAATAGCTTTTCCAAACTCAGCAATTGAAATTCTCTCATTTAAAGAAAATCCCAATGCGCAACTTTGCCCCAATTTAACCATCTTAGTATCTATTACGGTTTCCAAGATACCAATGCTCGTACCTCGAATTTATAGCACCCTGTATACAAAAATTTTCCCCATGTATCCACTCCATTGTTAACATAACTTGAATTTTTGGCTCAAAGCAAACTCGGTACTTCCTCCACTCACTGTGGAACTAATTTGCAAAAATTAAATTTAAATTATAGATCACAAAATTATAAAGGAAAATATTCTAATTAAAGCAGTTTCGAGAGGAATTTTAATTAAATCTCTACTTTGAAAAGAGAGCTTTTAAAACGCATTTTTCCAGAAATTATAATCAAAATATTTTATAAACGGCATTAGATAATAGAAGTAAACATGTTTAAGTCGACTTTTCTTTTAATTAACCTAGTTTCATAGTTGATAAAAATATTGTGTGTCCACTATGTGCGCATATTTGAAGTGAAACTACTTACTAACAGCTATTAAATTGAAGGACATGTATGAAAAAGTATAGTTTGCAATGTTGAAAATGTAATAAATTAAAAATTAATAAATAACTTGATTCACTTTCACAAAATTTGTATTAAAATCACCGACTGTCTGTCTGTATTGTATAGTAATTATGTATAGTTCGTCTAGAAAGTATCCGAAATTTTATATTTTTTCTAATTTTAATATATTTTTTTCTGTTACACTCTAAGACAACAGTAATCCATCACGTAGGTTGTGCGGATAGTAGGCTATGATCAAAATCGCATGGCAACACCATCTGTCAAATATTGTTGATTGTAAACCGGCTTAAGATTTGAGAAATAATGTCGCAAGTAAAAAAAAAGAGAAATGGTGGAATATTTGTATAGAAAAAGTATTCGAAACGTTAAAAAATTAGTGCAATTGACTGAACTCGGAAAAGACCGCGTAAGATTCGCGAAAACAATTTAAACGCTTTAGTGGCATTAGAAGATAGAATCCGCGCCTAGGGTTTCGCAAATTGACTAACAGATTTGGAAGTCAACGAAAATTAAAAGTGTATCCAGAAACCGTCCGCATGTCACTGAAAAGACAAGGCTACATATTATTATCAAGGAAGCCAAAAAAACCCGCAATAACACCTCTACAAAGGCCGCGAAGAATTTTTGTCAACGTTTTCAAGAAGATAATTCTAATAATATTTTTATTTTTGACGAAAGTTGTTTCCAGTTTGGTGGAAACCACCTAAAAATCCTATCAAAAGAAAATGCTACCGTTCAAGTTTCAAATTTCCCACTAAAATAATGGTTTGGGGAGCAATATCTCAGCGTGGTGCTACACCTCTGTGTATAGTTGATGGGACTGTTAATAGTGCAAAATATTTTGTTATTTTAAATGTTTTTTTTTCTTGAAACGGTTCATGTTTTATATCCAGAGGGGTGGCGTTTCCAGCAGGACAATGCAAGATGCCATACGTCTGCCTATACTCAAGCTTGGATGCAAGAACATCATTTGGCAACAATTCCATAGCCAGCAGCTTCACCAGACCTTAGTCCCATTGAAAACATATGGGGACTAATGAAGATTGAAGTGGAACGAGCAGCTCCACGAAATAAACAAGATTTGATTCGCTCAGTTTTACAGACCTATGAACTACCGCCACTGAACATTATGGGGTGGACCTGGGGAGTTTCGGGTACACCTGGACGTTTAGTTAAGTGTTTGGAGTTAAATGGAGGTTGTATAAGTAAATAAAATTAATAATTTGTTATAATTTTTTTAACTCTAGTCCTAAAAATATATATCGATAATTGAGATTTTGCTTTCTTTTTTTCGGATACTTTCTAGACGGACTATATATTGTATAGGCAACGGCCCAGCTACGTCGACACACCGGTTCCCATTAGAACACCAAAGTTAAGCGACGTAAGGCGATACTAGTGGATGGACGCGTGACCGGTTCGAAACTCTGTATCGTGCTGTTGTCCAATAAAGGCAGAAGTGTAAAATCTATTGACACACACTGCTAATTCACGCCGGTTCGAGGCCGGATGAGATCGGATATCTCGTGAGTAAGAGTTGATTTAGACACTTGCCATGTCGGTAGGCCATTGACCATGATATGGCCGAGGACCGCGGTTCGGATTCCGCTTAAACAAAGTAGGCCACGTCCAGATTAGCCCTGGCAGCACAAAGAAGACGTTAACTGAAATCTTTACTTTTATATTGTATAGTATCTAATTAATAAAAATAATTTGATTCTAATCATCCTATATTAGGGTTTCCTATACCTATCTAGCTCAGATTTTAAATAAAAAGCGATTTTTCAATAAAATCGCAATCAAGATGGCTGGTGTCGCCATGGTAATTTTCCAGTGACATTTAGTAACTATTTTCAAAATCGACATTAATTTATGGACATTATCATTATTTAGATTTATAACAGTTTACTTAAATTTACCTACAATAGTTTAATAAGTAAGTATTCATTATTTTATCAAGAAAAATAAAGAAGTATCTGCTAGCGGAAAGAATGGATATGTTACTAGTGATTTTATTTTGTGAGGAAAATTGCTTCTTGGCCTCAAGGACTTATGCCCTAAGATATCCAAAAAGGAATCTTCCTGATAAGCGTTCCTTTGAAAAACTACTTGTCCTATTTCACAGAGCTGGTAGTGTGGTTTATAAAAAACCTATTAGGCAAAAACCTGTCGTTGGAAGTGAAGAAAATGAATTTGCCGTAATTGGCTCTTTTATAGAAAATCCACAAATCTACAAGTCATCGTAAAATAAATCACAGAACTACTTCTTGGTGGTCGAAGGCTGGTAACGGATCTCAAGGAGATACTCCAATGTCGAGTAGGAGTATTTCATCAAAAACTGAGAAATGTCCACTGTTTCATAAGCTCTGCCAGCAAGTCCTATTTCCTACGTCCTCGAAGGCTCATGAGAGCTGCGTGACCACTGGTAATGTATGGCATCCAATGGATGGGTGTTATGCAGCTAACAGGAATGGGGCGAAGGCGAGATTCCGGCGCCTCAAAACCGGTTCTCTCGGCTAAGGATGGGCATCCCTACAGAAAGGCCCCTGGTCCTCCAGGTTGGGGGTTGAGGCAACGGGCTAGCGACCTGTTACTCGGAAAAAAACTTAATTGCTCAAAGAACCCTAAACACGCCTCGAAATTCGGACAGATATTCTTTACGACGACAACTGGCTACGAAACGGACTATGCGAATAGGAACTTGTCAACAAGACCTCGGAAGTTACATCAGAGATGGCTAGGTTCAGCCTAGATATAGTTGTTCTTTCTGAAACGAAGAAGAAAGGGAGAGGAAGTGAACATCTCGACAACTTCCTTCACTTCTGGTCTGGGATAGATAAGGCAAAACGAGCTCAAGCTGGAGTATCGGTACTGATTGCGAAAATAATATCTAAATTTTACAAGAATTACAACGCTGTCAACGAAAGAATAGTAACTGTCACCTTGACCATTTTCGGATTGGAAACCGTAATAATAGGTACTTATGCGCCCACAGATGATTCAAACCAAGCGGAAAAAGACTCTTATTATGCTGCACTCTCAAAAGTCCTCACAGAAATAAAACCGAGCCAGGAAGTCTTAATCATGGGAGACCTTAACGCAAGAATTGGTAAGAAAGAAGATAGTAAAGTGGTTGGAAAACACGGTGAGGACGTCCTTAATGATTCTGAGAGAGGTTAATTGACTTTTGCGAACTGAATGGTCTACGTATACTTAACGGCTTCTTCCCACACAAATTGATTCATCGATACACCCGAGAAAGGCCCTCTCTGCAACAAAAATCTATAATTGATTATATGATTGCTAAACAAATATCGAAACTCAAATTCAAAGACTGCAGAGTTAAGAGAGGAGCAAATTGTGGATCCGACCACCGCCTGGTCGTTGCAGAATTAGTAGTACCTTTCCAGAGCAGAGCCAAAAGTATAGAATACACAACATCACAAGAACTGGAAATTGAAGAATCTGAGCGTATTAAGTACAAGCTTCATTTACTACACGATGCCAGTATTAAATGGTTGTACCAGAGAAGATTAGATGTAGCCCTAGAGGAAGTGAAAGCCTGTAACGATGTAGAACTAGAGTATACCAACCTAAAAACCCTAATTAAAAAAGTAGCTTTCGAAGTTTTAGGTGAACAGAACATGCAGATGAACCAGCTTGGATAACTGACAGCATAAAGGCCTTAATCAATGACAAACAAAAATTCTATCAAAGATGGCTCTCAGACCGAACAGATACTAACTGGAGTCATTACAAGCAAAAAAATAGAGAGGTACGAGCCGCCATTAAGGTAGGAAAAACAGATATTTGGGAAAGAAGGTACCAGCAAGTGGAAAGCCTAATAGGGGGCGCACGGAGTACTGAGGTATGGAGAACAATCCGACAAATGAAAACCAATCAAACGGACAAGCTCTTGAATAGAATGGATATAGAAAAATGGCGCAACTACTATGCAGAATTACTGACAGAAAACCGACCAGAATTCCAAGTAGTAGAAGATGAGAACAACCTTGCAGGCACTTTAATGATAAGCGAAAGAGTAGTACATCAAAGTCTCAAAAGAATGAAAAATGGACGGTCACCAGGTCCTGGTAATATTGTAGCGGAATTGTTAAAGTGTGGAACCCAAAGACTGCGCTGGTGTCTGGCAGAGCTATTTAACCAGTGCTGCCTGCAAAGTAAACTACCCCGAGAATGGCGAGTGGCTCACATAGTGTCCATCTTTAAAAAGGGAAATCGTAACGACCCCACTTGTTATAGAGCATTAACAGTTCGGTCAGCAGACTTTTTGGAAAGGTGCTACAGGGTAGGCTCAGGGACAGTATTGGTGACAAATCTCGGAAGACCAAAGCGGATTCACACCGGGGAAATCTTTCACAGATAACCTTTTTGTCCTGCAGCAGGTGATGGAAAAAAAGATAGCAGTAGATCAAGAAGTCCATCTAGCATTTATTGATTTGGAGAAAGCGTACGACTCTATTCCCCGCAGCAAGATATGGGAAGTATTGAATATCTTAGAAGTAGATAGACCTTTGCTTAAGATAATAAAATAGCTATATAAAGAAAATGAATCGTACGTTAAGATAGGACACAGGCTATCTAATCCAATTAACACCACAAAAGGGTTGCGACAAGGATGCAGCTTATCTCCTCTGATCTTCAACGCTTACGTCGAATTAGCCCTTAGGGAATGGAAGACGAAATATCAAGGTATGGGAATACCCATTGGGGACAACACACTATTTACCCTGAGCTTTGCAGACGATCAGGTCGTGATTGCGCAGGACTCATACGATCTAAAGTTCATGACTAAGAGGCTTTATCAAGAATACAACAAATGGGGACTTCAGGTTAGTCTAAAGAAAACCGAATACTTAGCTGTCAATTCCAACGCTCGTTTTGAAGTCTTCATTAATGATAACGTCCAGATTCAACAAGTAGACAAATTTAAATACCTGGGTGCTACTATCAACAACGAGGGTTTGGGCACAGAAGAAATACAAACCCGAATTCAGAAAAGCAAACAAGTTATTGGATGTCTTAACAGCCTCTGGTGGGACCGAAACTTATCTGCAATAACTAAAAAGAGACTTGGAAGAACATTGGTGGAGTCAGTTCTTTGCTATGGTTCAGAGCTATGGACTCTGAGTGCAGACGCGAAGCGCAAAATCCAAGTTGTTGAAATGGACTACCTTAGAAGAAGTGCAGGTATATCTAGGATGGAAAAAAAGACAAACATCGAGGTCAGGCGTATCATGAATGCATCGGAGGAGACAGTACTGGATCGCATCGAAAAATCCAGCTTAAAATGGTTTGGACGTGTTCTGCGTATGCCGGAGAACAGGTGGCCAAAAATTGTTTTTCAATGGACTCCCCAGGGCAGAAGAAAGAGAGGTAGACCTAGAAAATCCTGGAACGGAACGGTTACGGAAGCAATGGAAGCTCGTAACCTAGAAGCTGGTGACGCTCTAAATCGAGATGTGTGGCGTAGGGTAACGGGAAGGCAGCAATAAATAGGCTGTAGTTGGAAATGAGTATTAAATACTTAAACCAAATCCCGTTTATATATGTATATATATATATATATATATATATATATATATATATATATATATATATATATATATATATATATATATATATATATATATATATATATATATATATATATATATATAGATATAAAAAACTACTTCTTCGTTTTTCTTGATAGAATAATGAATACATATTATTTAATTAATATTATTTATAATACAATTATAGGTAAATTAAATAAAAGTAAACTGGTATAAATTTAAATATAGCCCATAGACTTATTTCAATTTTGTAAATAACTGTCACTAGAAACTTGTCATGATGACACTAGCCCTCTTGATTGTCATTTTATTGAAAAATATTTCTCTTTAAGCTGTACGCACACTGCACTGTTGCAATCACGGTTGCAAATCACATATGAGCCGTTTCACATTGGCGCGATCGAGTTTTGGAGACGAAGCGGCTTGGCGGCGTTCTATTCTGCGGTGGCGATCAGATTGAACTTGTCGAGTTTGACCAACTGATAGGAATTTTCCGTTATTTTGTGTGTTTTTTTCTTGTTGCAATTTAGTAATGGAGTTAACAGAGCAGCTAATTAAGGCTGTAAAAATACACAAAATCCTATATGATTTATCCGATCCAAGTTACAAATATAATAGAATTAAAAATAAAAAGTTTTAGACAAAGTTGGAGTTCCAATTGGATCGGATAGTACATATGTATACATTTTTATTGTTTAAGTTTTAATATTGTAGGTAAGTATTTCAGAATTTTTTTTTTTCGGTGTACATACATAATTCACATTTTTAATTTGTACCTATGTATACCTACAGGATAGCTCACTACATATAGGTACGGCGGTGAACGTGAACGCGTTGGTGTGTGCCAAAATGATCGCTCACGTTATCGCTGCCCTGATCGTGATCGTAATCGCGGCTGTGATCGCACAGTGTGCGTGTAGCTTTATTCAAAATCTGAGCTAGATAGGTATAGGAAACCCTAATATAGTTTGAAAGGGCATTTGAATCTGCTTCGATTTATTTTAAAAAATACATGGTGTATTTGAAATAACGAAGTTTTTATGTAAAATAGATATTTAAAATAGATCAGCAAGTTTTGATACCCGTGTATACATTAAATGAAGCAATCAAATTTTTCAGTAAAGTTTATTTCTTTGGCTTTCAAGTCAACACAAGAATTTATTCTGAAAAGCAACGTACAGGATGTTGACAATCTTTTTTATTATAGCATGCATATTTAAATATCTTTAAATATCTCAAAAACCAAAGTGGCAACGGAAAACCAATCCCTCAAGTGGTCACGGACAATAGGTGGACCACAAATATAACCTGTAATGTTTTAATTATTGTAAACTCCTGAAAGAAAAATTGGCAGCGGCCAAGTCATTATTTTACACTTTTTCTAACAAAAGTCGGAAAAGTCTTCGTTATTTTTTTTGCTTTCTGTTGCTTTATTGAATTTGGCAATCCACAAACGTAACAGCTCCAAACCCGTTTTTTTTTCTGTTCAAGCAAAAACTTAGTTCAAAGATTTTCCAGGTGGGTATGAAAAGCATGGCGAGAAAACTAATTGCGGAATTTTCCGGCTAGTAATATATTACCCGACTTTCCCGACAGTACGTATGCGCTCGGCATTGCACTAAATAAGGACTAGAATAGATAATTTTAAATTTAGCTTTGCTGTATTTTAGTCAGTATTGGTTGGTTTCTGTTTTATAAATACGCCTTCTGTGTTCTACATAAATTATTATTTTTTTTTAATGAATCTGTAACAACCTCTATACTATCCCTGAAATGTTTTACGAAATGTTTCTGGAAATTGTTAACCCAGATTAACAATAAAAAATTGGTCAAGTGCGAGTCGGACTCGCACACGAAGGGTTCCGTACCATTTATTATCTATACAACATTAGACACTATATTATTATAAACTTTTTTTCCGATTTAGCTGAAATTTTGAATGCGCCTATAAGTAATTTGAAAAAAAAATGAAGAAACACATTACTAAAAATTGTATTAACCAGTAATAAATATGTAAAAAGTAAAAATAAATATGTTAAATTATGTAAAAATTAAAAAAAAAACGATTAAAAATTCACAGATTTTGCAACATGCGCAACCATCATAGGCGTATTGAAAATACCAGACACAAGTCGGCGGTTGTCGACAATCACCTGTTTTTTACATTTTATATTAACTTGTGGCCTTGTGGCGTCACTTGGAAGAGCTCAATAGAAATATAAAAGAACTAAACCTTGTTCGTTGGAAAGCAATTTGACATTCGTGACGTCAGCACTCCGACGGTCTAACGTAAACGCACAAGAATAGATATCAACCAGAAGCCTAACTTAGAGTTTGCGCGGGAAACATCGCCTAACCTAAAAATAGCGGTAGAACCTGTCAACGCACTGGCGTTCGCAGTTCACTTATGTTTTGCGTTTTGCTGAGAGCAGTAGCTGTTCGTCATTCGTAAATATTGAATATTGTAGTTTGTGTTGTTTTATAACTGAACGGAGCGAATAGTCTGGAATAGTTATTAAATATTTGTTGTGCTAGGTACATTATTTATAATAACTTCAAAGACTACTGGTTCAGTTTGTGCCTCAAGAATGTGCAAAAGCC